TAGCGTTGTTAGCTCAATCTGCAATAAACCTTTGTGACCCCGCCACATTTTTTTCGTCCCCTTAATTCAAATTCATCTTTGAGATTCAATCCAGTCTTTCGCATGTAAGGCCAATGAAGCAAAAATTCCTACCGAAATAGACATGGCTATCATCCTCATTTTGTGATTTAGCTGGATCGATTTCACTTTCAGAATCCACAGCACGCAGAAGCCGTACAAGACTTAATTCAGCGGAAATTTTTGAAGATTATTATTCGCTTCCACGTTCATGGCTGATGGTTTGTAACTAGCACACTTTTAATATTATATTCTTCTGGGATCTCGAAAGTCAAAGAAAAATTCCAAAATCCTTATATCCACTGGGTTACGTCAGTCACAAGCCATACATTTTCATTGAATTTAAAGTTAGCCGATCTGCAGCAAATACAACAGTTGAAAACGAAGCAGAGAGGAATGCGGGGAAATTCCCTGCCATCGCCTTCACTTTCCACAAAATATATGTATCTGCTTAAAAATGTGAACACTCTTCCCAGTCAAAGAATAGGTTGCAAACTTTCAGATTTTTAATTTCGCTATTTTTCACGGTCATATCGGCTTCCAGTTGAACAATTTGCTGGTCCGCTTCTCGACGCTCCAGGATCAGCTTTTCGACTTCACGCTGTAAAGCATCCAGCTCCTCACTGCCGGAAGAGACAACACCCTACAAAAAAACCGGTAAATTTATCTAAATTATTATTCGATAGAATTAAATTTAAGACCAAAAAAATTTGATAAAGGAAATTTGTAACAATACCAAAACTACTCGAAAATTAGCGTGGGATTCCATTTCAGTACATTGCTGGGGTGCTTCCACTCGCCGTGTGAAATCCCTTGACCTTGAGCTAAATATCTAACACCTGTCCGTGTGTATGCAACAGCTTTTCAAAGGCCGCTTGAGTGGGAAGCTTACTTTGCTGCGCATATCCGTTCTGGCAACATGTTCTGTTGGCCATAGTTTATTTCCTAATAGCGCCATCCTTCACGCCGCTCCTGTGGCAGGAAATTTGGCCGCTTACACGTTTCCAAAAGGCATACTAAGCCCCAGTGGTCTATTGTTCTTTCCGTCACAGCCAGCGCTCGTTCTTCTGCTTTCGTCAGTGACTTTCATGTTTCGCATTCGTACATCACCGCCTTTTTCACGATCATATTGGGGAGATTTGTGAAAATGCTGTGAATTTTGAGGTAACCAACAGCCCTTCGCGCACTCTCGCGCTCGATAATTTATACATTATAATTAACCAAATTTCTTGCAAAACTTGCCGTTGTTGTGTATGCACTTGTCAAGCTGGCCGTTGGCTCTTTCACAGATCGGAACGAAGGTGATATCAAATTCGGTGGCAAAACGCTTGGTATTGGCCTTCCATGTTTGTGATTTTAAATCAGATACATGCTGGAAAAGTTAATCCAATTATTTAAAAAAAAAGCGCATAAATGACACCTACGTCTTGTTACTTTAATTAATTTTTGTTGCAGAATGACAAATATCTGAGGATTTTTGTCATGTAATAGCAATTTTTTTTACCAAAAAGAATGTCATATTTTTCGTGCTTTGATTACGTCATTTACTCGGAGAAGCGGGGACAACAATGGGGCTGGGTCGAGGTCTAAAGAACTACAAAATTTGGGACAGGATGGTGTTTAACCCACGTTAAAGGCGTCATGGAACGGTTAAAGTTTTTAGGGATTCTTCTGAAAGAAATCCGAACTTACTGTCTCTTCAGAAGAGGTACCGAAACATTTCTTACCATTATAATAATTTTAACAAAATAATTTTGCTACTTTTACTAATTTTTTTTTAAATATTATTTTCTCTTTTTCTTCCCTTCCTATTCCAAAATGTCTTTCTATTACTAGCAGGTTTACCATAAGAAGACGCAGCATGAGGTAAAACAAGTGAAAAGTTACGAAATGCATAACTGAAAAATCAGGCTTTTAACAGTCAAATCCAATCCAAGTACGGCTATTCAATTCGGCTTAATGTATGCGACAGGGTCAGATCGTCTACTTTCTTACAAGTTCACGCTGCGTGCTTCAAATCTTGCACACGTATCCTTAACAATTGCTATATGCGCATGCTTCGTGTTTTTTTTTTCTTCGAAAAATCAAATTACATTAAAGCAAACTGCTCCAAATTAAGCATTCCAGTTTTCCTCAGATCGGCAAGAGACCAAATAAGGGCCAGTACATTCTGTGGTATCCCTGTTGCAAGAAGAACATCACGCACGTCGGCACCGGAAACGTATCCATCTTGGTTTGTATCAGCCTGCAACACAATCGAAATCACTTACAGCACAAAAAACAAAAGCACTGTGCAGGATGCACCGATAAAAAAATTTACCTGTCGAAAACTGGCCTCGTAAAGCGTTGATTGAACAGGCCAAGCTGCTGCTGGAGTTAATGTAATTGGAGGCTGAAAGAGACGATGAATTATTTCTATACATTTCACAGCCGAACAAAAATACGTATGCTACCAAAATCTGCGATGGTATAAAAAATTAGAAGCAGAAAATGTGGAATTCATTGTCCCAAGATGCTGTAATTGCTTCAGATCTTCTTCGTTAAAATCAGAAAGCGAAATACCAAAGAAACTTTATATTGAAAAAAAAAAAAAAAAAATTGGCCAACGCACGGGCTGCCCGCGCGAAGATGCGTTTTTTGCAGAGTTCCCCGCAGTT